TAAATGGCTCCCAAATATCAGTCAGTCTCAGGCCAACTTTTCACAGGACAAACCTACAAAGCCAGAGGGTGGAAAATATGATGCCTCCATGCATTTTGTGTTTGTGTTACTATAATAAAATAAGCTGCAATAGTGGTGCCTGTCTATAATCTCAAATACTCTGGAGGCTATGGCTGGAGAATCATGAGTTCAAACACAGTCCAGCAACATAGCGAGAGACTATCTCAAGAAAAATAATAAATAAAAATAATAAAAGAAAGAAAGAAAATTTGAGAGTTGGTACTTTACAAAGAAAAAGAATTTATTTCTCTTACAGTCTTAGAAGTTGAAAGTCCAAGATCAGATGTTCCGTCTGTTCAGCCTCTGATGTGGGCCTTCTGGCATAGGCAAACACAGCAGAAGGCATCACATAAGAGGAGCACATGGGAGAGAGGTCACATGACAAGATAGGAAGAAAGAGGTGCCTCAGGAAGCAATGAGCCTTGCTATTTTATAACAATTCACTCTCACAGGAACTAACACACTTCTCTGAGATTCAACCCACTCCATAAGATTAGCATTAATCTCTTCCTGGGCATCCCCTCCAGAACTTAATCTCCTTCCACTGTGCCCCACCCCTTAAAGATCCACCACCTCTCAATACTGTTACTTTGGGGACCATGCTTTTAGCACATGAACCTTTGCAAGATAAACCGTAACACATAGCTACCACCCAGTCATGAGTGAGGTTGACATCATGGCCTGTACAAGTATGACTGTGACCAGTAGTTTTGTAACTGTTTCAAGTCTGAGTTGTGTAAAATTTGTGAATCGGAGATTGAGTGGGAAAAACAATGCTTAAAACCTGAGGTCTTTAACTTTGTTTTCATTCATTCATTCATTCATTCACTTAGCAAAGCTAATGATGTTGAAAATGTAAAAAGAAAGATTACAAACAGTTCCTTGGAAATAGTGCCTCAAATAGTCACAAAATAAATCCTAATTCTAGAGCTTAAATTACTTCTTTCTCCAATAGTAATGGAGTAGTAGCACTTGTAGAAGCACTAAGTTAAAATGGTCTGGAGTGATCGGTTCTTAATTTGCCCAGCAAGTTACAATCAATCTCCCTTGAACACTTCTTTTTCCCCTAAAATACAGTGGAAAGAGCACTGGACTGGAAATTAGATGTCCTGATTCCAACTCTGCCTCTAACCACCTGGAGACACCTTGGGCAAGTTCTTAATCTCTCTGACTCTTAACTTCTTCATCTACAAAAGAAGAATATCAGTACTCTTCAAGCTAATCTAAACTACATTATGAAAGTGTATACTACACCATTATACCTATAACTTATTCATTCCATCTAGAATAAAATCACTTGGATTTCTAAAGCATAATTAAAAACTAGTAAGAAGAATAGTTTAGAAAGAAGAAATAGAGGGAGTTTCTCACACTTTCCTAACACCTCCATGACAGTATTTGGTTATTTGTAATAAATGTGTCTTACCTTCTAGTCTCAGTTCTCTGAAAGTAGGAAGAATATCACACAAACTTTGTTTGCAAATTTGCAAGTCTTTCATACCTAGGCACATTGTAGTTAATGAAAAGCCAAACACCTGGAATTAAAGCATTCTCACTTACTAAAGAGCTAGAGAAGGTGGAGGAAGTTTGTGTTCTCTGGTCCTGTAGTTGTAGATCAGGACTTCTTTGAAGACAGTTTTTCCAGGCTTTCCATGTCATTGCAAAAATCCATCTGCCTTCTGGGGCAGCCCCCTTGTCAGCATTCCAGGACAGAATTAATCTTCACATCTTAGGTCTAATTTAGTGCAAGACAGTCTTCCTTCAGATTCTTTTCCTTTCAATCAATGCCTTTATCATTTCCTCGTAATGTTTCCCTAGAACCAGAGAGAGTTGTTTAATACCAATTTTCTTGTTTCTTCTTAGAAACAGACCATTTGTCCAGTAGAAGGCAAGGAGGATCCAGAGACAAAATTAGTATTCCCATCAGAATAATGAAACACACCAATTATCTTGAAGGGATGATTCCTAGAGGAGCGGTGTGATAAAATAATGAAAATAACCCTGAGGTAGGCCAAATAGAGCTTAGAATTTGCCAAAAGTCTGCATGAACTGCTTGTGTTTTCTTGGGCAGATAACTAAACCTCTCCATGTAATCTTTCAGTGAAATTTGTGAGAAGGAAAAAAAGATTTCTGAGCTCCTTTCCATGTTGCGTTTTCAGAATAAAAGGTATATTTTGGGTTGCCATAAAACAGAATTGTCTGTTTATTGAAAATAGTTTGATCCAAGGCTAAGAAAACTGATACTGTATTCATATCAAAAACAGATCTACATGATCTTGAAGTAAGCAAACATGAGAAAAAACATAGTGAATCTGATTCTTTAGAATTATGAGCCCAATGGTTAGTGGACAGTGGACTGCAGACTTGGTAAGAAAACTAGACTGGCTGAAGCTTCCAAAATGCATATGCTCACTACATGCTTAAATGGTTATTAAAATCACAACCATGTGCTGTTTCTTTCTGGTATTACACTACCTTCACATACAATGGACACTAATATAATTTCCCTATGCCGACTGAAGCATTAAGGAAAAATGTTGGCATCTACTTCATAGAAATTTGTTTCACTTGACACTGTAAGTTCAAAGATCATTCTTTCAATGAACTCTGACAAACTACTATGCATAAGACACTCTATGAAATACTGAGCACACACAGATATATATATCTCCAAGGGATATTCATACACAAACACCCACTCTCTTGTATATACTTATACAACCATAATAAATAGTAGAATGTGATAAGTAAGCACCATAGAAGTGATGCAGATTAAATACTCACAGAAGGCAGATATTCTAATTGAGAACATAAAGCAAGAAGCAAATGAAGTAGGGTTTGAAGACTGGATTAGGTTTGGCCTGTGGAAATTTCAAGAAATAGCACACCACATGTGAGAACAAAGCTAACCCTAGCATATAGCGCTTACCAGGCACTAAGAAGTTTGAACACACTGTCTTAGTGAATGTTCACAATTCTAAGGGGTCAATTCTCTTGCCTGCCTTTTTCAGAGGGGAAACTAAGGCCCAGAAGAGAAGAATACCTTTCCTAACTCTTTCATTAAAAGAAATAGCAGGTTGCTTAAGATTGATGAACTATGTAGCCAGCAAGAAAATATCTGAAAATATCTATATAATAAAACAAGTGAGGATGCTAGCTTCTTTCAGTGACTCAAACATAGAAGAAACTTGAACTAAATAGAAAGTAAAAATTAAGATTCTCTGTATATTTAAAACAAAATAAAGTGGAACAAAGCTATTTTATGTATTATTTTAAATGGCCCCAAATCAACACACTTCAAGCACCCTTGTCAATGTAAAATCATAAAATGTCAGTCACATCCAAAAGGGTTGCAAGTACCATTCTGATACAACTCTCTGTTCATGGAGATGGGAAAACTGAGGCTCAAAGATGAGTAATGTTGTTCAAATGCTTCATTCAATTTAAACTTTAAATAAAAAAATAAGTATTTACATGTGGCTACATAATTATTACCAATTTCCACACTAAGAATTTTCCAGTTCCTAGTAAGGAACTGATAACTAAAGATAATTGTAAAAACTTTAAATCCCCCTGGTACTCGTACATTTTATATACTGCTCAGAAAGCAATTAAATTGTGATCTCTTCTGTGCTTTAATCACAATAATGTGATTCCATTACTCCACTGAGCTAGTTAGTAACCAGATGTACATAAGGGAATTAGCACAAATCCTTTAAGTGGACCTTCCCAAAAGTCTTGTAAATAAAAGACAAACCAAGACCTCAAGGGATATTCTGTTTTAACAGAAATTAGTAAAGAGGCTTAGCTTTATTCTCTTGTTTGATTAACTGTTCAGGAATTAACATCCACTAAGCCATGTTCATATTAAAAATGTGTGTTATCTAGCACAAATACTGTCTGCAAAATGTGAAGTTCCCCCTCATCTTTATTTGCTCCATCAGTAAGTTTGTACTATGGTATTTGTATTGAGTCTATATATTTATGTTTGGCTTATTATTCTAGCAGTTACACAGAAATATGGTTGAGAGCTAAGACTCACATTCCTAAAAGGACATCTATTTCAGCTCTCTGAGTTGAATTATCAGTGTTTTTATCTCTGCCTTGAGTGATACTGGTTAACGTGTTGTTGTAATATAGTTGAAATTTCTTGAGCACTTTAAAAATTATATTTGATATTTTTATTTGGCTCCCATTTTTATAAAATCAGAAAGATTTGAGATGTCTCCTTCGGGGATTCTGTGATAATGGTTTTGAACTACGATACCTTCAATATAGGGCAGTATTCAGTGATCCAACACAGGTTTCCTGAAACCCTAGTACTCCCATGCCAGAATCTTATAATAAATGTACTATCCCTCCCACAAGAAAAAATTAGGAGCTTTTTAAACAGTCATTCAGCCTTTTTTAGTTACAGAGAGGATTGTCGAAGATTAAAAAAAAATAGTGTCTTTATAGATTAATGTTTACAATCTAGAAACAATTTTAAAAAGCTAAAGTTTATCTTAGTTATTTAAGCCAGCTTTTTCCCCAACTGCTAAATGAATTTCTCTTCCATTTTTAAAACTTTATATATTGTACATACCAGCCTGTTGGACAGGTGGACATCTCAGCCTGCCTACCCATAAATACTAATAAGAATTTTGATAACCCAACTTGTAATTTTAAGTGTATTTAATACGCAGTTGATGCTTATGGGAGACCCTTCCAGTAATTATCATGGGTACAAGTTTAAATTTATTGAATTATTTGAAATCCTTTCCATTTCAAATGACCCAAGTCATAAGGGTTACCATTTAAAACATAATCTTTATTGTCACAGAGAATTTTAAATAGATGTCTGTGAGAACTGGAGTGTGTATCTGAAATAAGTTGACTATAACAAGTTCATCATGTATTATTGAACAGAACAATTTACTCAATAAGCAATCAAATTCTTGTTTTCCATAATTTCACCATAATTTTATTTTATATTTACAGTCTTCAATTGCTAATGCAGGGGTCTTGCTGAGGATTTGGGGGATTAGGGAAGAAAGATGGGGTTTGAAGGAGAAGGGTCAGAGGTCTGATGTAGACAATAATAATTAACAAAGCTAACAGGATGTGAACGTCTTCCAGAAGAAATTCTTGCAGCCAGCTTTGCGTTCTCGGGGTGCCATGGCTGGGTTTGAGTTAGCAGATCTCTGCAGCTCCAGCCTCATCTCATCCTGTTCTGCAGCCTGGGACAAATCTTCAGGTTCCAGGGCATCATTCTCCGTCTGGTTGGGCTCAGACAGCAGCTCTGCCAAGAAGTACTTGGCCAGTTCCTGTATGGGGCAGAAGGGAGAGGGAAAGACAGAGAGGAGGGAAATAGAAAAGAAGAAATGGGGAAAGCTAGCTTGAAAAACAGATTAGTCACACTCAAACCCAATATTTGCAACTGCATTTTTGACACTTAAAATCAATTAAGAATGAAAAAATAATAAGAGCAGTTGCTATAATAACTAAGCTCTACATAAGGGCTTCAAATGTAAATATTTCTGCAAGCATTTTGCCTTTGTAGGAAACACACACACACACACACACACACGCACAGAAATAGTGGGTGATATAAGCAGTTTTACGAAGATAAAGAGTATGCCAACAATTTGCTGAACTCAATTTCCATATCATGAGCTAGAAAGTGGGAAATTGTTCTTACCGTTTTTACAAAGAACACAAGCACATTAGCTCCATCTGCAGCGCCCCGAGCCCCTAGCCCTGTTGCTTGGAAGAAGACCGCGTTTCAGCACCTGGGTCAGTACCTCCCGTGGGTAGCACCCAGGATAGATGCCATAGTGCCTTTGTGTCCTTGCTACCCAGGTTTCAGAATTTTCTTGAATGCCAGGAAAAAACTCACCTGAATTGTGACCGTCTGCGCTGATCAGAAAAAAAGAAGTAAAAGGGGATTCGAGAATTGAAAAGTTTCCCTGGGAGGTTTGGGAGCTGAGGGACTGTGAAAAGCACCGAAACTCTTTAGAAGAACTAAACAACTGCCAAGTTCAAACCGAGGGGCTGAAGGCTGCGGGGAACAGGAAAGGGAAGAGAAGACGTCGAGGGAGTTTCTTTACCTGCTTTCCTGCGGCAGCAGCCAGGGACTTCTGCAGAAACTGACGGAGTCTGGGGTCCGAGGGCGCGCCGGTGACACCGCCCAGGGCTAGGATGATGGAGAGCGCGGCCAGCGCGCACTGGAGGCGGCAGGACAGCATCTTGGCCGTGCAGAGAGCCAAGCTGGAGAGCGGTGGGTCAAACTCCAGACGCCGATCAGCAGGCAGCAGCGACGGCTCTGAACCTCTCGTCTCCTAAGAGGCTTGTGTGCTCTCCACCGTCTCCCCCCTTTTTAAATTCTCTCTCTGACGTCAGCCTAGGAGGCGCCCCCAGATCTCACCAGCGCCTTTACGCACCATTAACCTCGCAAAATCAATCACAGAAGTGAGGGGAGGCGACACGATCTAAAGTGGCTTAAAAAAAAAAATCCTGCGCACACACAGGCATACACAATAACGCAGGCCACTTTGATTCAGTGCTTCTGACATACACATTCTATAATTTTATTCATATATGTACACATGTGCACAATTACACACAAAATAAGCTCACTCAGCCATTGAGAGGCAAGTACTGCTGTCACACATAGATGCATTACACATCAATGTACAAAGACTACTTCACTTATTATCATGCTTAACCATTTTAGAGGTCTCAAATAAAGACAAAAGCACATATGTGTGGCAGGTGAGATTTGGAATCATTGTTCTAAGAAGAGATTTGAAAATAAAATATGGACATTTGGAAGACTGAACCATCTCCTCTGCAAAATTGTTATAGAAGATGTAATAGGCTCTTAAAGAACTTTACTTTTCTCTACAATGGGGAAGAAAGTATTTTTGACTCACCCCCCTTCCTCCTTTCTCACCAAGTATGAGACTTTAGTCTTCCTTTCTACAATAAAAGAAGAGAAATGAGAGGGGGGGAGAGAGAGAGAAAAAAAAAAGAGAGAGAGAGATTGACTTCATTTTGATAACTAGAAATTTGAAGCTGGATGGCCATCTCAGAAATTATTTAATAAGCCTGAGAATTTGAATCACTAAGGCTTAGACTTGGGCAATAAAATGCTTCATGCTGCAAAGGGCAGACTTCTACATTCCAAGACCAGGCTTCTTTCCACACAACTCTAACAGATTCCTGGCCAATAAGAACAGATGTAAGTCAGGAATCCCCAGGATGGATATATAAAAGTCCAGGACACCAGTGAACATAGTTGATCACTATTGTGTGTCTATGTGTCAGGAAAGAACCAATAGCATCTTTGTCAAATTATCTCCTCCCTCAACAACAGAGGAAATTCAAAAAAGAAAAAAATGTCCTAGAAATCTATTTGTGGTGAGGTTGAAAGTTTGATGTCAAGATCAGAGTTCTGACAGCTTTTTTTCAAAATAGTTTCTTATCAAGGAAAGGCCAGCTAATTTCCTGGCATAGACCAGATGTCCCTGCAGTCTCTTCAAGGACTAATATTTTATGAGCTTCAAAGGAGTCAATATTAGCTGAAAAAGAATGCCACAAAGTGAGGCAAAGAACTTGTTCAATCCTGCTATCATCAACTAGGATTTTCTTGATACTTAGACCCAAGCTACAATATCAAGAGGTGGGAGAGGTTGGGAGGTATCTCTATTTCTATTCGTATAAGTCAAGACAAAGAGAGAATGCATAGTATGTATGTATGTTAGAGCTTTCAGGGCTTAGCAATTCCAGGTGAGGTTTAGCACAAAATAAGGCATTCAAACATCACTCACATGCTGGAATAGTCTGGGAGAGCAATGAATCTAGAGCCATGGAACCAACCATGGAAAATACAAGCTATAGTTTCTATATATTCTGGAACTCTCCCTGGCCCCTGACTGGGGACCCAGAATCTATCATTTGTCCTATAATACCTCCAAATGGTCCTCTCTCTCCTCTATCTAGGACCTGACCCTTGACAGCCCCACAGAATAGAAAAGGAGAGGTTTCCTCAAACAGGAACCAAGAAAAGAACAAAGAACAGCCCCTCCATCTTGCTCTGTGCTCTGGGATCTCTTCCTCCCTCCCTGGATTCCTACTCCTTCCTTCCTTCCACATCCCTGTCTCCCTCCTCTACTCCCTCCTCTACTCTTTGTCCTCTGTCCTCTTTCTCCTTTTCCCTAACCTTTTTCTAAATTTCTCTCTCTCTCTCTCTCTCTCTCTCTCTCTCTCTCTCTCTCTCTCTCTCTCTGGCTCTCATTCAACTCTTCTTTTGTCTTCTCTGTCGCTCCTCCTATCCTCATTTCACTTTTCCTTCCCACTCCCCTAATCATGTGCTGACTTCAGTCTGGTTCCATCTGCCCCTTTCCTGCCTTCTTTTTTTCCTCCATCCCTTCTCACCTTGCCTGGCTAATCAATATCTATCTCTGCCTCTGCCTCTTGGCAGTTCTTCTCTGTTGTCTCTCACCTTCTCTTTCTTCTCTCCTTAGCTGCTTCTTGCCAAAAATACTCCTGAGCTGGAGCTGTTTGAGTACCTACTTGGGAATAGTGAAATCTGAGTTGCTTTCCCCAAACTTCTGCTGAAATGCTGAGGCTGTGAATAAGATGACTTCATAGGTTTAATCCTTGGATTGTTATGAATCTAAGATCCATTTAAACAAGAAAAGGATCCAGGACAAAGGGGACAGAAATTTCCCTTAAGCCCCTGATTGTCAATTTTAACATAAAGAGTGGCTTAGCATTTGAGCATTTCAAATTCTCCAAACTGAGCCTCCTGCATTAACCCCCAGGGCCTCTCCCCCAAGTCTCAAAGGCAGGGAGGGGAAAGTGGTTTATAGCTGTAGTAGAAACCCTGTTTCCCAGACTATGGTCACCAGAAGTCACCTACCCCATTCTTATGCAGCCTTTGTGGTTCATAAATCGCCTCTTCATCTGGCACTTCAGAGTATGCTACTTGTACCTCACAGGAGAAAACAGGTCCTGAGAGGACCGCCAGGGCACGCAGGTAGAAAGCATCATAGTCAAAGGAAAATGCTTCACCCGCCCCTGACTCAGACACGCCATATACCTGGCTGAGCAGACTGCAGCCAATACAAGCACCTTTAGGCGTCTTTCATGCACAGCTCTTCTGGACAGCTGTATGAGTTTCCATCTCCCTCTTGGAATGTACATTTTGGGGTTACTATCTACTAAAATGTGGAGTAGAATTCATTTTAGTAAGAAACAGTAAAATATGTTAGCAGACATACACATTCAGTATTAAGCAACATAGAAAAAGAGAAAATATCTACATAGAGCAGAAAGACCTTGGTTCTAGTTTGGTTCTGCCACAACCAGCTGTGGGACATCCTCTTTGGGCCTTGATTTCTTCATGTGCAAAAATAAAAGATCAGCAGGTCATCTTTGTGGTTGCTTCCAGCCCTGATAATTAACAAGTTTAAACTGTAGCAAATGAAAGTGCAAACTATAGTGTATGCTAATGTTAAATGCTGTTATTTTCCTCAAATTGAGGTCATATGTTGGAAAAGAAACTGATTATTACCTAATAGGAGAGAACAGTGGATACAGAAATATTTTGAATTTTAGAAAATTTCAGAGTTGTTTCTGCTTCTGATCTGCCCTTTCCACTAAGAACCTTAATTTCTCCATGAATAAAACTGACTCAAATTCTTTCCACAAATAAGTAAGGTAAAGCTGTACTGTTTGAGATGCAACTGATATGGCATCTCCATACAAAGTTGTAGGGAGGAAGACAAAAAACAAACATACTAATTAGTATATGTTCACTTTATAAAGGTTAAAGCAAGGTATAAGCATGATGGCAGGTGGAGAGAACTTTCTAAGGAGAAGCTCTAGGGAAGGAACCAACCATGCAAATATCTCAATACAGATTATCAGTTTAGAACCAGAGGCAGCAACAATGTAAGAGAACAGAGTGGGTGAAGCTGAGAAATCTAGGAGATGAAGTCAGAGAGTCAGGGAGGGGCCAGATCACTAACAGCTCTAAAGGCCATGGAATGGAAACCATTGGGGAATTCTGGTAAAGGGACTGAGCTAATTTAATTACTCTTAAACATTACCTTCTATGAATAATAAAACAATAAAAAAATACAAAAAATAATTACCTTCTATTCAGTGGAAAAGTAATTATAAGAATTAAAGAGTAAAAGCAAGAAGATAACTTAGTAGTCTAAGAACCATTGAAGACAGAAGAGGAGCTAGGACAAAAGAAGCACATATTCTTCCTTAAGTGCCTTGTGGCCAAGGTGGTTGGCTTGCATAAAGTCACTTCAAACCTACCTAGTCTAAATCTCTACAGCCAATCCCTGGAACCCACCTTATCTCCCATGTCCCAAAGGCTGTGAGGGGGCAGTTGACCTGTGGTTGTTACTGAGAAACCCAAGCTCTGGATTTAGTTCAGGTAAGGAAAGATGGTGTTTGGGGCTAGAGTAGTGGCTATGAAGATGAGGACTGGCTAAACTTAAGGTTTGTTTTGAAGTACAGCAGATAAGACATGCTGATAGGTTGTTTGGATATCAAGGAAATAACAAGAACCATCAACATCACCTACAGAGTCATCCAGACATTCTCTAAAATACCTTCAAATTTCACAAATTCTTCAGAGTGCAAGAAGTGAATTTATGCTAATGGCTTCTGGATATTTTGTAAATGGAAAATCCTTTTATTTTCCAGATAGAAGGTTAAAGTCAGTGATGAAAAGAACATAGGATAGAAGAAAGAGCCATGGACAGGGTGTCCAAGGCTCAGTTTTTCTCCCCTCCCTGCACCGGGCCTGATAATCTTTGCCTCTTATAAAACAAGATATAAGAACCATACCAAACAAAGTAAGCAAAAGTATTTGGTAGTCTACAAAACATTGTAAGACTATCAAGGCCAGATCTTATTGTTGCTGCTCAGATGGAGGCAGCCAGTTCTAAGCCAAGGAGTAATATCCAGCAAGCCAGCCAATCACTGTGGGAAGTGGTGTGTCCTGGCCAATGCCCTGGCCCAGCTTAATAAGCAGGCTTTCCTCACCCTGAAGACATGCAGTATGTGATCTGGAGCACCCAGGAACAGCTCTTCCACAGAAAGAGTGCTGAAATTCCTCCATTAGAAAATCATTTTCTCCTTACATATATTAACCTTGGAGATAAAACACATTATAAAATGGAAACTATTAGCATTTCATGTAGATTCATTTGTTAAGTTGTTTTCTGGGCTAACAGAAGGCTTAATGAAAATGAAAGTGGGAGAGAGCAACTCGAGTATGCAACTCACACAGCAGGGCAGACTTAGCAGGATCTGATTTTGAGGGTGGGGACAGACTCTTTCTCT